ACCAGGGCTGTCTGAGGCAAGCTAGACCTTTCAAGGGCCCCTTGGTTATTTTAAGATCCTTTTCTCTTAAGTGCTTTGTACTTAAGGGGAAAAAAACAATACTCTTTTTTAAGAAGGTCACTGTAAACAGAAAGTCATAGGCTTCCAAAGGGAAGAACAGAAGATACTAAACCCAGTAGGACCTGCTGGGTAAATATGTTTGGTAAATAGAGTACTGCTGCCTAGGGCCATTTGAGAGTGGGAAAATCATGTGATTCCGCCCAAAGAGAGGTAGTCATGAGGTCTGAGGCCTTGGCTACACTGGCAATTCACAGCGCTGCACTTGCTGTGCTCAGGGTGTGAAAAAACACACCTCCCCCCGAGCGCAGCGAGTGCAGCGCTGTATAGCACCAGTGTAATCAGCGCCTGCAGCGCTGCACGCTCCCTTGCAGCGCTGTAAGCTACTCCCCTCGGAGAGGTGGAGCTCTCGCAGCGCTGGTGGCGCGACTACACTCGCGCATTCACAGCGCTGCTGTGAATCCGCGAGTGTAGCCAAGGCCTCAAACTTGAGGCGGTGCACTCAGAGAAGGGACAGAGTTGCAGTTAGCCCTGTAACTGTGACACATGGCTTTTAGCTGTAAACTTTCTGCTACCTACTTTTACATCTCGATTAGGCCAAATGATTTTCTTTATCTTCATTGCTTTAATTAGGTTTTCACAGTCACTACAGGGCTCACATGTGGTGATTAATTCAGTGTCACTCAGATCATCCTCAGTTCTGTAAAAGACAAAAACACTGTCATTTTTATAAATTAGCTCTTTTTTGGTTGAAGTTATTTCTCTTAGCATATCTAAAGCAAGTTCTTCTTCCTTCTGTTCCTCTGCCACTGACCAAAGGAGACTAGTAAGGAACCTCAGCCCCATGGCTAAGACTCAGGATATACTGTGGTCTCATTGCCATGGGAAGTGATGGAATGAGGTTGCATAGACTCTATCCAAGGAGGAGTCTGCATGGTCCTCCTTTCAGCTGTGTGCTCCCAGCACTATAGAGATAATATTGCTGTCCTCACATGCACACACCCCTGCCCACCACCACCCAGATCCTCCCAGTGTCCTAGCCCAGCTGCCTTCCTCCCCTTCTCTAGTAGGGTGAGGTAACATACCCTACTGTACCTTTTTGTAATCATGTCCATCTGCCATTCATCCATGAGTCTCACCACACCCCTCTTCTACATCATAGCATCCATCATCATCCTCCCTCCCCCTTTCCCCACGATCTCCATTTCCTCTTCTTTGTTACTCTCACATCTCTACAGGTCTACCTACTCCTCTTCCCCTTCTCACCTCTATCTCCTCCCTCCTCCCACCCGCACAAATTTAGGTTCCACATCTGCATTCTCTTCCTCACCTCTGGTGACATTTGCCCCCATTCTACCCCTTCCTCCACCTTCTCCACCTCCCACATCCACACCCTCTGCCACCACCTCTTTTCCCTTTCATGCCACTATTCCTTACACTTCCTACCTCAGAATAATTGCATTAGCTTCTGCACATATGATTGCATGCTGGTCACAACTACCATCATCCTTCTGTGCAAACAGACTATTCACTGTCCCTTTTGGAAATCCATTGTAGCCAACAGCGACCTATAACAAAACCAGGCAAAAATAAACAAAAAGAAGAGTACTTTTCCAGGACCCTGATGCATTTAGGCCCAATCCAACTCCCAAAGATTGTCATTGACTTCCGTAGGAGTTGCTGTATTGTTGTGCACTTTGATCAGCTCGTTGTTATTCTTTGAGCATGTAGATTTCCATCTCCCAAAATGTTTGGTTTTTGAAAAATGAATACTAAATGTATTTGAAGTCCCAGTAGGGGCTAACTGCAAAATCCTAACAGAAATCCTGTTTTTAGGACAATTTTTCTTTCAAGTTCCATGAAATCTTGTTCATGCAAATTTGAAGTTTGCTTTCCATGAACAGACATCTCAGTAAAACTTGATTAGTCATGAAGACAAAATGCAAAAAAGGTTGTGGTGCATGAAGTGAATAATTTAAAAATGTGAGCAAGATTGCAGTGTTTGCCCAGCTGAGGTGGAATTATTTATTCATTTTGCAAGTATTTATACTGTAGAGATTGCATGAGTGCAGTAGGACTGGAATGCAGGGAAGTCAGCTGATTAGTAATACTATGTATCAAATAGAGGGGGCTTTGCACATTTCAAGCACTGTGTAGATATTAAATAATTAATCATCACAACATTCCTGGGAAGTAGGCCAGGAAGTATTTTTATCTGTATTCTTCACATGGAGATGCAGACACAGAGGGCCTAATTCTGATCTCACAGTGTTGTGCCTGCACCGACTGGGTAATGGACCTCAAAGGTGCATTCCTTAGTCTTAGTCCCATCCTCAATCAGCTACACCGTGTTACGTCTCGGCATGTGTAATTGTGTGAAATATTAGTAGGGCTATGGGTGTACTAAGACAATAAGTTCTAAGGCCTATAGAAGACTGCAGCTGCACATTTTATTAGCCTCATTATATTCTATCTGAATGTTTGATTATTTTTTATACTCTGTTAAAAATAGTCATGTGGAAATATGACCATGTGAGTAATTTGCTCCTTGTGCAAGTTTCATTATCTTTAAAATCCTTTCAGATTTTGACTTGCATGGAGAGGGGTGATGTAGGAGAGTTTTTAAGAATCGTTATTTATGTCAGTAGAATTAACTTGCTCACTTATATAAATAATACTGAGGAAACCCCACGGAAATGCAGTGCATATCTATGGCAGACTTGAGCTCTTTTAAATATTTCTATGCATCACAATACATTGCACAAAAATCCTACAAGCAAAAGTTTAATGTGACAATCAGCTATAATAGATTAATGTTTGTATCAAAAATGAATACTTGATGGTGAGACTGAGGGGTTTTCCTCATCATTTTCAAACTGTATCCAGACTAATATTAATAGTTCTTGGGTTGCATATATTGTACTTACAATGTCTTCTTTCCTGTAGATCAGTGTCCCCACTCCAGTATTAGGACTGTCTGGCATGAAAAAAAAAATCAAATAGTGAAGCTACCAACAAAGTCTCAGGACTTGATTCACCCTGTTGGTGCAAAGATATGCAAAGTACACATCCCTGAGCCAGAAGAGGTTGCTATTACCACTACTGCCCTCCAAAGGGGATTCAACCAAGGAAAGAAAGTGTTAAGTTGCAGTGAGGGCTCCATATCAGCACCAGCAGTGAAGACTATCCAGGGATGTGGTGAATCAGCACATTCCACAGTTGACTTGCCTGAACGAAAGACTTCAGCCCACACAGCCCTATGTCCCTATGCAATCCACCTCTACCCCCCACCTGGTGGTGTCTTCTTAAGTGGAAGTGCCAATGATCTGTTAAATTCCTGTAGCACTCCTTGCTGCTCATTCCAACAGTTATTATATCTCCCTGTATCTCAGAAAAAGCATAAAAAATACTATCTCCACCTGAGAAAGCGAGTCATAATGGTTTCTGCTAAGCCTTCTCACTACAAAAGGTGAACTCATCCTCTCAGTGAACCAAAACCAATACAATACGACCCTGGGGTTTTCCACCTTTCTCTGCAGCATGGGGCATGGGGTCACTTGCAGGTTTAAGCTAGTGTAACTTGAAGTATTTAAATCAATATTTGAGGACTTCAGTAACTCAGCCAGAGGTTAGGAGTCTATTACAGGAGTGGGTGGATGAGGTTCTGTGGTCTGCAATGTGCAGGAAGTCAGACTAGGTGATCATGATGGTCCCTTCTGGCCTTAAAGTCTATGAGTATGACCAATCACAGCCAGCCAACCCAGCTTGAAATGCAAAAAAAAAGTAAAATTGTCTCAGAATTGTTTAAAAACTGTTATAAAATTACTCCAAATTTGCAAATGTTTAATGAACTAAAAACCAGGAAAATCTGAATAAAAAAATATATTTTGGACCAATATGTCCGACATCTTGTGTGAGTGCACAAGAATGGGTGCAAAAGGGTGGGCAAGGGACCAGCCATAACTGTAGTGTCTGCGATCAGAGCACAAGGACGACTGTCTAATAGCACTCCCTGAGGTGCTAGGAACCACAAAGGGGTGCGGGTGAAGGTAGGGTCATGTACTTGCTGGTTAGTCAGAGATAAAAAATGAGCCATCCTCCTAGAGATTAGTGGAATGGATGTTCTTCCCTTGCTCACTATGGACCTCTAGGAAGCATTGTGCTTCTTTGGGGCATAATTCTGCATGGAATTCTTGGTAGTGCAGCATGGCTCTTCACCAAATGCAAGCTGGTCTAGGGTTAAAGGTGCAATCTGGTCCTTTGTTATGGATATTTTTGCTGATCTCTACTACCAGCCTTGAAAGTATTTTTTCAGATGACCTGTATTGGTTTTGTATTGAGGTATAATTAATTTAATCTGGTCTGCATACCACAGGCTAATTATTTAACATAGGCAATACCACTGTAATATTTCACCTCTAGTGTAACAAGTTAGCTAAATTCATGCACAGCTTCCTTGAAAGACATTACCATGAATAAGGTCACAGAACTCAGTGTTACAGCTTCATAGTTGCTTCCTAAATCACACATTAAATACATATAATTCTCTACTACCCAGGACTCTAAATTCCTGAACCCATATCTTTCCTGTACCATATTACTTACTGACTTTACCTTAATACTAATCATTCACTTACCATTTCTGGCTGCTAGTAAGTTACAGAGCTGCAATGCATGAGTATACTTGGGCTGTCTTTGAATGGTGTGTTTATCCTCTTGAAAATTATTTTCCTTTATTTCGGTATCAATGCCACCTGCCAGGGTCCGAAAAGATTCCTTTGCTTTAGCAATATCTTCTTTATATGATTCTTGGAATGGTTTAACTTTTTTAATGTGCGCCAGGTTAAGTATTTCTAAAAGTTTAAGTGATAGGTTATGATCACATACAGAGGTAATTGGAGTGATGCCCTTCTCAACTGGAGATGATCCTATTCGTGGAAAAATCCTTCGCTTCACCATTTCAGCATTTAATATTGGTATGTAGACTGCTGCAGTGATATAGCTTTCCCTAAAGATGTTATCAACATGTTCAGCTTCCATTTCAATTTTGTTCAGATTTACTTCTGTTATTTGTATTTCAAGATTAGGCCAGTAATACACTTGAGAAATTTGAGCTGTATGAAGAAAAATATATGTAAGATAATATTTTAAAAGAAATATAATAAAGTCGACACACCTTCTTAACTAGTAAAATTAAAGCAGTACTGGAAGTAATTATATTAGTTATACTTTTTCATGTATTATTATTTATTATTCATAAGAACAGCAGTGTGAGGCAGTTACGCCTAATACACACAATGGGGTGCTGGTCCATGACTAATGTTCCTAGGTGCTACTGCACTACAAATAAATAAATAATAATAATAATAATAATAATCACCCTCTATGTACAGCACCAGCTACACAAACATGAAAAAATGAGAAAAAACGGTTACCTACCTTTTCGTAACTGTTGTTCTTCGAGATGTGTTGTTCACGTCCATTACACATTAGGTGTGCGCGTGTTGCGTGCACGGACGTCGGAAACTTTTTCCCTCAGCGGCTCCCGTCGGGCCAGCAGGGGAGCTCTGCCAGAGCGGCGCCCCGCTCTAGCGCATATATACCCTTGCCAACCCGACCCTCCCTCAGTTCCTTCTTGCTGGTGACTCCGACAGAGGGGAAGGAGGGTGGGAAGTGTAATGGACGTGAACAACACATCTCGAAGAACAACAGTTACAAAAAGGTAGGTAACCGTTTTTTCTTCTTCGAGTGATTGTTCACATCCATTACACATTAGGTGACTCACAAGCTTACCAGAGAAGGAGGTTAGGCGTCAAGGAACAATTGACTGAAGTACAGCCCTGCCGACTGCCGCGTCCTCTCTGGCCTGATGATAGATTGCGTAATGGGCTGTGAATGTGTGCACCGATGACCAGGTAGCTGCTTTACAGATCTCCTGGAACGGAACCTGCGCCAGGAAAGCCGTCGAGGACACTTGGGCCCTAGTCGAGTGAGCCCTGATCGTCGGGGCTGGCACTTTGGCGAGCTCGTAGCATGTGCGGATGCAATGCACAATCCACGATGATAACCATTGCGCCGAGATAGGAAGACCTTTCATTCTCTCTGCAATGGTAATGAACAATTGTGTCGACTTGCAAAATGGCCTGGTTCGTTCCAGATAGAACGCCAGGGCCCTACGGACATCTAGGGTATGGAGGCTGCGGTGGCTAGAGTCCGTATGGGGTTTGGGGAAGAACACCGGTAAACAAATGTCCTGCCCCATGTGAAATTGCGAGACCACTTTAGGGAGGAATTTGGGGTGCGGTCTCAGCTGCACCTTGTCCTTATAAAATACTGTATACAGGGGTTCAGAAGTGAGGGCTATCAACTCCGAAACTCTCCTCGCTGATGTAATGGCCACCAAAAACGCCACCTTCCAGGAGAGGTGCGTGAGAGAACAAGAGGCTAGGGGTCCAAAGGGTGGTCCCATGAGCCTAGTTAAGACCAGGTTAAGGTTCCATGGGGGGACCGGCGGGCGCGAGTAGGGAAACACCCTCTCCAGCCCCTTGAGGAATCGTACTACTGTGGGGTTGGAAAACACGGAATGCCCAGACTCCCCCGGGTGGAACGCCGATATGGCGGCCAGGTGCACTCTAATTGAGGAGGGGGTGAGACCCTGATGTTTGAGGTGCAGTAGGTATTCCAGTATGGATGGGATGGAGGCCTGAAGAGGCTGTATGAGTTTAGGTTCGCACCAGTGGGAGAACCTCTTCCATTTGGCGAGGGATGTCGCCCTTGTGGAAGGTTTCCTGCTACCGAGGAGGATTTGTTGGACCTGGCGGGAGTACCTACTCTCCATAGCATTTAGCCACAGAGATTCCACGCTGTGAGATGTAGAGACTGTAGGTTCAGGTGGAGCAGGCGACCCCTGTCCTGCGTGATGAGGTCTCAGTGCAGGGGCAGGGCAATCGGGGTGACCACTGACAGTTCCAGCAGGGTCGTGAACCAATGCTTGCGTGGCCAAGCTGATGCGATGAAGATAATTGCTGCCTTGTCCCTGCGGATCTTGAGCAGGACTCTGTGGATGAGCGGGAATGGTGGGAAGGCGTAGTTCAGACTCCTGCTCCATGGAATCGCGAAGGCATCTGCCACTGAGCCTGGGCTGAGGTTCTGGAATGAACAAAACCGAGGGCATTGGCTGTTGTCCTTGGTGGCGAAGAGATCTACTTGGGGAAATCCCCACCTCCGGAAGATCGATTGCAGGACGTCCTTTCTTAACGTCCACTCGTGCATGTGATACGATCTGCTGAGGCGGTCTGCCAGTTTGTTTTGATCCCCCGGAAGATATGCCACCACCAATTGGACTGAGTGGGCTATACAGAAGTCCCATAGAAGGAGTGCCTTGTTGCAGAGGGGAGAGGAGCAGGCACCATCCTGCTTGTTTATGTAGAACATGGTGGTAGTGTTGTCTGTCAGAACTGACACGCTGTGGCCTTCTATGGTAGAGTGAAAGGTCTGGCAGGCGAGGCGAACCGCCCTTAGCTCCTTCACGTTGATGTGGAGCGACCTTTCCTCCCTGGACCACAAGCCCTGCGTTCATAGGTCCCCCACATGTGCCCCCCAGCCTAGGTCTGACACATCTGTTACCAGCGTCAGGGTGGGCTGCGGTGTAGCGAAGGGAACCCCGTCGCAAACTCGCTGTTGATCGAGCCACCAGCGAAGGGAGTCCGAGACCCGAGCCGGGATTGTCACTACAAGGTCTAAGGGGTCCCTGCTGGGGCGATACGTTCAGGCCAGCCACAGCTGCAAAGGTGTGAGTCTCAGACGGGCATGTTTGACTACATGGGCGCATGCTGCCATCTGCCCCAGGAGTTGCGTGCAGCACCTGGCCGTGGTTGTGGGGAATCTTTGAATGGAGCTTATGGCTCTTTGGATGGCCAGGAACCTGGGAACCGGTAGACTTGCTCGTGCCTCTACTGAGTCTAGGACTGCCCCTATGAAGTCCAGTCTTTGCGTGGGAATCAACGAGGATTTGGGCACATTGACTAAGAGACCGAGCTTGTGGAACACGTGTAGCGCCAATGTCACGTGGGAGCGAACCTCGTCCTCGGACCTGCCTGCGAGGAGCCAGTCGTCCAAATATGGATATGCCCGCATTTTTCTTTTCCGAAGAAAAGCTGCCACCATGGACATGCATTTCGTGAACATCCGAGGGGCCGTTGCCAGGCCGAAGGGCAGGGCCGTTGCCAGGCCGAAGGGCAGGGCCGTAAATTGGAAATGGTGCTGGTTGATGGTGAAACGCAAGAACCGCCGGTGAGCGGGGTGGATGGCGATGTGAAAATATGCATCTTTCATATCAAGGGCAGCGTACCAATCCCCCGGATCCAGGGATGGGATAATAGCGCCAAGGGAGACCATGCGGAAGCGGGCCTTCACTAAGAATTTGTTTAGTCTGCGCAGGTCCAGAATGGGGCGGAGACCCCCTTTTGCTTTGGGGATAAGGAAATATCTGGAGTAGAACCCTTTCCCTCTTAGGTCTGGGGGGACCTCTTCCACCGCCCCTGCCCTGAGAAGGGCCTGAACCTCCTGTATCAGGAGTTCCTCGTGAGAAGGGTCCCTGAAGAGGGATGGGGATGGGGGGTGGGAGGGAGGGGGCGAGGAGAACTGAAGCGTGTATCCCAACTCCACCGTGCGAAGGACCCAATGGTCCGATGTTATATGGGACCATGCACGGTAGAAATGGGACAAATGGTCCATGAAACATAGGGGAGGATTTGGTGCGAGGCTTGGTGCGCTGTCCTCGATCACATCTTCAAAATCCCTGTTTGTTGCTGGGCTGTGGCTTGCCCTGGCCCTGGCCTTGGTTAGGCGTGTTGTTTCGCCTACGCCTGTTGTCTCTGCCCCTTCTGTGGTAAGGTTCCTGCCTGGGGTGAGGGTGGTACTGCCTCTGTTGCAGTGGCTGGGGCTTAAAAGGCTACCTCTGTGTAGCCGTGGTGTGCATTCCCAACAACTTGAGGGTTGCCCAGGAGCCTTTGAGGCTATGAAGTCTGGTGTCTGTTTGGTCCGAGAATAAGCCGAACGGGAGGTCTTGTAAGGTGTTTTGCACCTCTGGTGGAAGGCCTGAAGCCTGCAGCCACGCCGAGCATCTCATCACCACCCCCGACGCGATTGTCCTGGCAGCCGCGTCCGCTGAGTCAAGGGAGGCCTGCAGAGAGGTTTTGACCAACACCTTCCCTTCGTCCACGATGGCTGTGAACTCGGGTTGTGAGCCCTAAGGCAGGGAGTCCTTAAACTTGAAGACCGATGCCCAAGAGTTAAAATTGTATCTGTTCAGGATTGCCTGCTGATTTGCGATCCTCAATTGGAGGCCCCCCAGATGAGTAGATCTTTCTCCCAAACAAGTCCAAGCGCGTTGCTTCCTTGGCCTTGGGGGCCGGGGCTTGTTGTCCATGCCACTCTCGTTCGTTGACCGTGGATATGACCAGCGAACAAGGCATCGGGTGACAGAAGAGGAAGTCGAACCCTTTGGAGGGAGCAAAGTACTTCCTCTCTATGCCTTTTGCTGTTGGTGCACTGAAGGCTGGCGTTTGCCATACTGTCTTATAATTAGACTGTATTGTTTTTATGAGCGGGAGCACAATTCTGGAGGGGCCTTCAGGACTTAAGATGTTCACCATGGGATCCTCCTGCTCTACCATCTTCTCAGCCTGCAAGTCCAAATTGAGGGCTACCCTGCGGAGAAGTTCTTGATGTGCCCAATGGTCAAAGGGGGAGGACCTGATACTGCCGTGCCCGCCACGGCCTCATCTGGCAAGGACGAAGAAGTTAAGGCCTTCTGCGCTTCTTCCTCTAGCCCTTCCTGTGGCTCCTCACAGGGTGGGGGCTCCTCTGGGGTCTGTCCTACCGAGCGTGCTTGAGAGGGTACCAGGCTCGGTGCCGTGTCCGCTCTCTCTTGCTCAGGCGGTCTGGAGACCGTGGCCTTCTTGTGAGAGGAGGGGCGTCCATGCGGGGAGCGGGACTGATGCCCTGAGTGGCCGGATCTCGAGGTTCTGGAGGGGGGG